TCTCATCTCTCTCTTTCACACAAACGACACCTTGTAGAATGGGGAGGAAGGGGTGTGGGTGGCAGGGTTGGGCACGTGACCCGGGCATACGGAAAGTGTCAAGTGCCCCGAGTGGCCCTCCATATTCGACAGCATGTGGCACTCTGGTTGACACAATGCCAGTGCCAACGTCGGACGAAATCTGAAGGTCGAAAATCACGAACTGATTTCGACGTCGTAATTATATCATGACTTTTGTTGAATCTGCGTTTGAATTAAAAGTTTCTGCATTTATTTGAGACTGGATATCGTTTAAAGAAAAAACTTTTCTTATCGAAAGTGCAGTTGTCGTCGTTTATTAAAAATCAGTCCAGTGGACTTATTTGCTTTTACACTGAGAGCAATAGATGGACGGGATGAAAAACAGGGGCAGCAATATCCTACTTGGCAACTGTCCTGTTAAGCTTACCTTGGCCGCGCCCAGCATCCCCCTTCCCTTCCCCCTCCCCACCTCCCATCCAATCCAGCCTCCCCCTCCCCTTCCCCCTCACCTGCTCATCATACACACGGTCTTACTCTCACAATCCTCTAATTAATTTAATCATCAGACCGCTTCCCGTGTTAATTGCGCTAACGATAATTTCTTCACTGCATTCAATTTAGCGACATAATTCAAGTTCAATGGACGAAAAAAAGAAAGAAATGTTACGAATCAGCCAAGCTTATTTACGTCGTCCAAAAACCACGGTAACAATAATTATCAACTTTTATTAGGACGTCAGTGACTTTAATTGGTCGTATCAAAACTCAAGGATCGGGACGAGGCCGAAATACGATAGCGTAAGCCGATATTCGTGCTTCTTACGACGTCCATTTATCCAGGCATTGAAATCTCCCCAAGAACCGAATACGGGATTTTTTCTCCCGTAAATCCCTCTGCTCTTGGGGTCTTTTAATCTGAATATGTTGTTAATGGCGGTGTTTTTGTTTTTATGTGTTCAGCTTTGGCAACGACTTCGGAGAAGGTCTTGGATGGTTATCGGCGTTCGCAGTAATTGTTGTACTTCTGGCAACTACTTGTTAACCTGAGGGCACGATAGCCCGCGACGATGCCCGGATACGATGATGTATGTTTATGCCCATCCCGCCGCATTTCTGCGTCTCTTTGCCGTTAACCTCGCCCCGATTCCATCCGCCATAGATCGAAAAGTACCCGTAGTAACCGTGGTCACGTGACCACGCACAGGGCGAGAGGATCCCGGCGCTGAGAGAAGACAAACTTGTTCTCGGTGAAGGTGGGTCAAGCGAGCGTCTGCCGTTCGCTTGCCTGACTTTCTCTTCGTTTTCGTTTGGTGCCGTATTTGAGCGTCCTTGTCCCGTCCTTCCGAGCCAACACTTCATCATGTTCTCCCCCAAGCGCTCGTGTTCAAGTGGGCGTCATGTTCGGAACTGTAATTTCGAAAATATTCCTTTTGAAGACCATTTTATTCCTTTTCTCACCGCGTGGATGTAGTGAGGGACAAACCCTTGGTAGTGCGAACACGTCGCTCCACCACAGGTAGATGGGCGCACACATGCACACACACCCGCACACGCATCCATTAAGCCAGAACTCGAGGTGGTGATCCCAGGTCTGCACTCACACAGGGCGGCCGCGGCCCTCGCCTCCAGACTGCGCCTCACAGCGACCACCTTGAGACGGAGGAGATAGTATCCTTGGCGAGACGGAGGTCCCAGGGAGGGCCCTCGCCAGTCTCTCTCCTGCCTGCCTTGGATACTGCAGCCCCGCGCCTGCTCGCGGTCCTGCTGCTCCTCCTTCTGCTCGCGGCCTGCTCTTGCCTCCTGTTGCTGCCTGCTGTCCGCTGTCCTGCTTGGCTCTGGGGCGCCAGGCATGGGCTAGGGCGACCTGCTGCTGCGGCCGACGGACCACAAACGGGAACAGCGCAGCGCTTCCACGAGAAAGCGACCGCAGGAGGCGTCCAGGTGCGCCGTGCATTACAACGATGTAGTGAGCCTCGCGTCCTGCGTGTTCGTTGTGTCTCCGCAATCGTTCGTCATGGGACCAGGGTCGACGAGTGCGCCCAGAAGGGCGGGGGTGTGGGTGTGTGTCGTCGCTGCAGTGGTGTGGGCGGCGGCGGCGGTGCGCAGCGGGCGTGGGCGTGTGGATGGACGACGGCAATGGGCGCACGGTTCTGGCTGACAGGCTGGACGCCGAGGAAGCCGCGGATCTGGCGCAGGACATGCTGGACCTCCTGGACCTGCCCGCGCCGCCCGCCATGGTGGGCCACCACCGCCACCATCACCGCGCCCACCGCGCCCACGGCTCGGCGCCCACCTGGATGAAGAATATCTACAACACCCTCGATGAGCACGGCCACGCCAACGCGCCCAACATGGACGACGTGCACCGCGAGACCGTCACGGCGGCGGACACCATCATCACCTTCGTCAACAGAGGTGAGTGACAACCACCCCCTCCCCCCGTTTCGGGAAAGTGACACCGCGAGTCGCACGGAGGCCGTGGTTCATTTGCATACGCGGGCTCGGTGCGACGGAGGCCCAGGCGGCTTCTCCGGCGATTTGCGTCGAGCATCTCGGTCGCTGTTGCCGACATCAGTGAATGGAGACAACGCCTTCATTCACATAATTAGATGTTTGAGCTTAACCACGCAAGATACCCAGAGTTCACATTTTTATTTAGGCAATTCGGGAATTTGATATAACTGGAGATTAAAATTACAATATCGGTAATCGTACAAATTCACAACAAATATCGAGCGAATCCGTAAATGTAAAAATAAAACCAGGCTTGAAGGTCCGTAGCCGAGCGTAGAAAAGTCACTGAATGGACACGAGAAGATATTTCATGCATACGAAGCCGCCAAGGGAGTCCGGACCGTCTTGGGTACGAGAGGAGGAAGCCGACAGGAAAGGGCCGTTTCTGAGAACAGGATTAGAGCTGCGAAAAGGAAGAAGAAATCTCTCGTGCTATTATCCAAATCAATCCAAGGGGTAATTGCATATTTTTGACATCCGACATCCAATGCAAGCCACCCACTCTCCCCTCTCTCTCCCCTTCCCAAAACCTTCC